GGGATGTGCCTCGGGAAGCAGTGCACGCCAGGAGCTTCTCTCCTTCCAGCATACTTTATGGACCCACCTTTAAACAAAAGCCATTAAATTGCATCCTTTTATATACTGTGGGCATATGCATTTAGGATAGTGGACTGTGCAAAGGCTCAAATACCTTGTGGGTACACTGGTGTTGGAGGGAACTGGATTTATCCCTGCATCCCAAGGGAAAGGAGCAGGTATGGCCACAGCAATGCCAGTTAGTGACTGTATTTAATACTCTGATCCAAGTGCAGTGCCTGGGGTTTCTGGAGAGGCGCCCACAGCCCAGATCTCTCCTGTTTATTGTACCCAGCCTAGAGAAACGCCATCACAGCCTCTGGTCAGAACGCCCTTCTTGCAGACTTGGAGACGCCAGGTGCTTTCTACAGCAGTTTCTGCACGAAGTCAGATCAACGTCCTGCACGCAAGATAGAGGTAATCACCACGTAAATGCCCTCCTTTGTGTGGTTTTTCTTTCACGGGCCAAGGCCAACGTCAGCTTTCCCAATCTGTGGCAGGGTATCATTGCCAGTGGGATGAGTGAGAGGTGCTATCAGTGTTAGTGCCACTGTCCTCACCTTGATTATTTGTGTCGTCACCCAAACAGCGATGGGAGGCTTTGGTTTTTGTACAAGAAAAATGGGACAACCTCAGAGACGGGACTTGCCGACCTCATAGAGACCAAGATCAGCACTGCAAAGTCAACGATCCCGCATCTCGCCTAATATCCTCTTCTGGGACCTCAACAAGTGGAAGCAGAAAAAACTACAGACGTGGATATTTCAGCTGATGGCAAGACGTCTGAGCCAAAGTAAGGCAGACATGGAAAAGCAAGCAATTCATAACAAACAAGGTTATTTATAGAAGAGAGAAAGGACATTTTGATGCCTTTATACAAGGCTCTGGTAAAATTTCATCTAGAGTATTTTGTGTAGCTGTGGTCATGCAAACATAAGAAAAATAAACTCAAGCTGGAGTGCAAGAGATGCAGAAGACAGCTGCAAAGATGAGGAGCGGAAATGAAAGCTTATTTTATGGAAAAGACTAAAAGAGGCTGGTGTGCTTAACCAAATAAAATCAAGACACAGGAATACGCCTGTCACTTATAAATACATAAAGGAAGTAAATATTATGAAGGTAGAACTGACTTAAGCTAAAGGGCAGCACATACAAATATTTCTAGCCATCTCTAAATTTAGGCTAGAAGCTGCATTTTTAATCAGAGCAGCCAGATTCTGGAGCAGCTTCAAATGGAAGTGGCAGGAACGGGAAATCCACCTGGTCTGTGGTCCAAGCGTGATCTGTTCAACAACAGGACACAGCTGAAAGGTAATGGGTCAGACTCCGTGCAGTCTTCAGTGGAAACAGGGTAAGGAGATCATCAGCACCAATGCTGCCGGTTATCCTGCTCCCAGCCAACATCTGCCAGGAGCTAGTGGGAACCGGCACGCCTTCACACTACCTGTCTGCACAGCAAGAGGTTTGTACAATACATGGAGATCGGATGTTTTAACTAAACTGTTGCAAAAATGCCAACGTTTTGGTGTCAAATGTAGCAGGAAGGGCTGCAAGGTGCCAAGCTACTGTTAGCCCTTTCGGGAAAGCACAGCAAAGAGTTTTCATTTCCAAGACACCTTCAAACATCAGGAGAGCAATCTTGCAGCAAGAAGCCTTACTGTAGTGAGGAAGCTACAGGACAGCATCTGGACTAAACTGCCACCAAATTCAACAGAAATACCTGCAAGCTGCAGCCGCCCTTCAGAGGACACATTAATGCCTGACCAAGGCACCTGCTCAGCAAGACAGGGCACAGGCAAAGGGGGTTTCTAATTGCCAGCCATGAGGTACAACAGCCACAAAGCCTTGCTGGCAGGTGGCTCTGAGCAACACAGAAAAGAGACTCTGAAATTAAGGCACAAAGTAGGTTTTTTTTACTACTTTTATGCGTGTCCACTTTGCACCTTGAGTGCATTAGAATTAACTTGCTTTCGCACTTAACCATAAAATCTCACCTGTTCTCGAGCAGCTTGGGGGTGGCAGGGAAACACTGGCGACTGCTCCCAGGAGCACATACCTGATTACGCACAGAGCCCACATATCTGTGCAGGAGTGCGTGCCTGCGAGGCACTCCTCCGCCACGCTGCAGATGCCTGGCGTTGTTTCCATCCCACAACCAAGTTTGCAGAGAAAAGTATTTTGTCTATAGCCGGCTGGAATCTGCTAACAAGCAGGGAGAGGATCTGAGAAGCAGCTTCAAGGCGATCCCCACCACAATACAAACCGAGCCTAGAAATAATCAGTGGGAATTATCTAGAAGTGAAGCAATTACACCTTCTTCAGGCTCCAGATGGGAAGCTCCTGGGAGCTTGGGGACATCAACTGTCAGTTTAAAAGAAAAGAAATTATAGCCAATTTCTTAGAAATTGAAGGGGACTGAGTATAGGCAACCACATCTTATTGTCAACTCTGACCCACTGCTTCATCTCAAAGGGCACAGCCCTTATTCTTTCTTATTACGGTTTAAGTACACCAGTTAGCAAGATCCAGAAGTATTATGCTTTTACTGCTCTGGCTGAGAAATGCAAAGCAGCCTGAGAAAAAGACCACAGCAACTTGCCCTGAAACTTTCCAGTAAAACAAAAATGCACCCCAGCACCCAAAATTGCCCACGCAATTCTCGCTAGCCAGGAATCAAATCCCCATAGCAAAGGTCAGCTGTGCTCAGCAGGCAACATGCATTCTCTGCAAGGGAGAGACCTTCCAGATACACCAGCTAAGTGAGGCTGCTAACAGTGCCCTAGAGCCCGCTGCACTTTTAAAATCAATTTCAAGGTGAACAGATGCAACGTGCACTCGGGCAAGCCCACGGACGAGCATGAAAATCGCTCCCAGTGTTTGCTGAACTACACACAACCAGCAACTGTTGGATCCTGCTCCAGCCCAGTCCATTTGCATCTCTTCAGGCACCTGTTGGTGTTGGCAAACATGCCTCAACACCAAAGTGGCAGAGGTATTGTTCGAAGCTATCAGTTAGGGTGGAAATAATCTATCAGAGGATTTTCCTGCACCTACTGGAGCTATCACAGATTACTTTTGTGCCAGGAAAAGGAGACTGAGGAAGCTGTGGTGTTACATAAACACTGAAAATTATTCTTGCCATTAGACAACACCAGAACAAGCCACTCTGATGCAAAATCCCAAACCGAAGTTATCATTTCCAGAACACAAGATGTTGGGCTCACCACACGCGTCTGGACTTTTGCAGCCCAGTGCTATATAGGTGCCCCGCACTCAGAAAACAGGCAGTGGTTAAAGCAGGGCAGGCACCACCGCCTCCTGTCCGAGCCAGTCTCCTTGGCCACAGAGGCAATTAAATGTCACAGCCTTTGCTTTGAAACCAGCTCATCCCTTTCTCCAACTCCTCTAGCCAGGGGCTCACCCACCACCTTCCTCCTCCCCATCCGACCGTCTGTCGATAACAGATGCATTCTTCAGATTTTCTGCCTACCACTGGCACATTGCGGTCCCAGCACCCTTGCTGGAGCCAACGAGATCACGTATTTGGATTAAGATAATTGCGTGACAGTACACAGAGCTAAAACAAACCTGCCTTCAAGGAGAAGCTGAGATGTCAGACTTTCTCCCGGCCTGCTCTCCATCTCCCTCTGATTTTCTGAGACACACCAGAAGGCTGTCTTTTTATAATCTTTTCTAAAAATGGATTTTTTTAAAAACTATTTTTCAATTTTGCTGTTTGAAAAAAATTCCCGAGATTGGAAAGTAATTCTGTTTAAGAACAGAATTTTCTGAACTCCACATGATCCAAGCAAGCAGATGCTGAGAAGTTGTTTTCTCAGCACCCTCCCAGGAAAGGACTAAAGACAAGCAAGTGAGTGTTCAGCAGCATGCCTACCCTCCTCTGGGCTATTCTGACACTTTCTTGCCCTCAGGACCGATTCCAAAACTCAGATTTCAGGTGTCTGCAATGCCAGTGGCATGAGGGTAAGTTGGATAAAGAGAAAGGCTCCCATCTTTCCCAAGAGGACTTAGGGATGAGGTCAAGAGAGACTGTGTCAAAGGCAGCCCAGAGCCCTGCTGGCAGAACAAGGTCTATTTGTCTAGCAATGTTTTGTTACCACAGTGAAGCAAACTCCCCGAGCGTCAGAGCAGCAGCCCCAGGGAATCCATGACTCCCCAGATCCCGAGGCAACGTCTCCTTATGAATGCGCCCATCGTTCCAGGGGTGGAGGATCTCAGTTTAAATACAGCTAACAAACCCCATCAGTCATCCCTGAGGAGAGAAGTCTCCTCTCTTGATTACAGAGGAAAGGAACTTTGCAATAAAGTGAGGACTTGAATTTTTTTTTTTTTTTTAAATCCTTCTCCCATAGTCCTACAAAACCTTAAGGCTGCTTCACAGCACCCTTGTGACCCAGCCTGTTAATGGGGTGACTAGCTCAACTCCTGCAAGAATATAACTGAAAATGAGCCTCAGGGAATGGCATTTCTCACCTGGACAATTTCTCCATTGGAAGCAATTAAATCCGTGGGGATGGAGACTCTGAAGAAACGTCCGAACAAC